ACATAGTCATTACTATGCTTTAGCCGACCAGCGGTCGAGCAGTAAAGTCGCTGAACACTGGTAGTTCGGTCCGAGGTTCGAATCCCGCGAATGAGCTGGCTGCATGGGCGTTTTCGTGGTTTTCCCCATGTGTAACGTGTATACGAGCCAGTTTCCCTTAGAAAGTCCTCCACAAAGGCATCCCTTCCCTTAGGCAGATAGCCCTCGTGTGCTTTGCCATAATTAAATACACCAACACCATTACTATGCTTTACTGCACTGGAAGCTAACTCAAAACTTCGTTCAATGTTTTGCAGATCTTTTTTTGTTATTAGATGCAATCGTTCGAGGCCAGAATCAGATATGGAATCGTGAATTTCATCCAAAATTGCATCAAATGGTACTTTAGCAGCTATTTTTGATGCAATAAAGGTTCTATCCTTACTTGAAAGGAAAAGATGACCCATATCATTTTCATGGCCTACATGTGTTTTCTGGAAATATGCATAGTATTCCTCTCGTTTTGATTTGACCAATTTTATTTTCGCAGGACAATAAGCATTAATTTTTTTACTGCCCAGTAGCTTTATGTGTCGCTTTCCAGAACTCTGTGAATGAAAATGCCCTGAACGGTGACATGTAAAATATGTAACTGTACCAGTGGCATTTGGTTTTCAGATACATGTATTATTATAAATTTCGACTTTATTTTCTAAATCATCTTTCCATTCAAGAAAACTTTCATAGGATTCAAATTTTAATTCTGATGTTTCAAGTTTTACATCATGAACTTGTAAAAAGTGTTCATTTATCAACTCATTTTCAAAATCCCCTTTACACAAAGGACATTTATACTGTCTCTTAGTTGAAATGTGATCACCATTACAACTAGAGTCACATATTTTGAGTTTGGATGTTTCACATACTTTTAAATTTAGAGACTGCAATATGTGTTCATCCGTTGGATGGCATTTTATTACATGCCTTTTCAAATTAAATTTGGAAAAAAAGAATTTCCCACGTCCGCATGGAAACTTGTTTGATGTAATCATATCCGTAGAAATATCCGAATTAGTTTGATTTTTTTCATCAGATTGAACATTTGGCTCTGAAAAGGGCCCTTTATTAAAGTGATCATTTGGTCCTGAAAAGGACCGTTTTGTTTTAAAATGATCAGAGATGTTTGATCAAATTAGCTTGTAAACACTCGACTACGAAAATTGCAATACGAGGATTTCCGTTCACTAGCTATTCTATCATTTGAGATCCCTCCCCACAACCGGAAATGACATACTGCGAGCGAAGAGAGTGTGGAACTCTGGGATAGATGAGAACCCAATATCTAGGCGCTTTTGGGGAGTGACGGTTCTCAAAGTCCTTGATAAGAAGCGGTATAAGAGGTCTGGTGGGAGGTGGGCGATCGACGAAATATTTATAAATGTTATTGAAAATTTAAATATTTTTTTTTTTTTTTAATATAATTATATATTTAAATATTACTACTAAAACTAGGTGTTAGCTATATGGCGCAAAATTGCCCTCGGTCTTCTTTTATTTCTGTTGCTTGTGTAGTCGTAAGCTAATATTGGGATTGTTGGGTTTTGGACAGGAATTTTCCTAAAGAAATTGTTGGCCAACTTTGCCATATAGGCGTTAATGGGCATTACATTGAATTCTCTGTGGATAGCTTCATTACGGATGAACCATCTGCAGTTAGTGGCTTGTCTTAGGACCGAATTTTGGGCAATTTGGAGACTTTTAATAGATGAATTGCTAGCGTACCCCCCATACGGGGCAGGCATAAGTTTTAATAGGTCGTAGCATGGCTTTATAGATGAGTATTTTGTTTTCTATTGAGAAAACGCTGTTCCGAGCGATTAGAGGGGAAAGTGTAGCTTTACGAGCTCGGAATTTATTAATTACGTGTTTAATGTGGGGCGACTATGTGAGATGCTTGTCAAGAATTACTCCTAAGTAGGGGACTTGCTTGGCCCAAGGGATTGCAGTATTAAACATAATTATATGTTCATCAGTTTTGATTTTCCTGGTGAACAAAATAGCATCAGATTTCTCGGCATTAATGCCAATTTTCCAGTCTAGGAGCCAAGACTTCAGTGCATGGATGTGATTTTGGAGTGATTGTCTTACTGAGCTGATAAATGCATTTTCGGTGAGTATTGTCGTATCATCTGCATACATGGCTGTGGCTGTCGGATATCGTTCGAGTAGATATTATGGAGGACGGGCGAAATTAAAGAGAGCCCTGGGGGACGCCAAACATGATTGGTCTGGGGGTTGAGTAAGTGCTATTGACTCGAACGACAAAGTGTCTATCCTTAAGATAGGAGTACAACAACAACAAATTCTTATAACCGATCCTGCTACTGAAAGCAGCTGCGGTGTTTTGTAACGATTGCTGCCAGTAAGTGGGTTTGAATCCACGCTTCTGAACACTCTGTTATCTCACTTCGTATTAGGCAGAAGGAGACAGGTTAAGATAGGAGTAGATGAGTGTAATTATGTAAGCTGGGAAACCCAGGTTAATTAATTTGTAAGTGAGGCCCTTCAGCCACACACGATCAGTGCCTTAGCAACGTCTAGGAAGATACCTCCGGTAGTGAGATTATTTTGCAGTCCTGAAGAAATCAATTCAGCGACCCGGTATAATTGATGCGTGGTGGAGTGTCGTTTGCGGAAGAAGCCTTGTTGCTTATTGATGAATACATTATTTGCTTCGTCATGTTGCATGATCCTTTTTAAAATGACATATTCAGTGATTTTATTTAAAGCTGATAAAAGGCTTATTGGCCTGTAGGCTACCGGATCACAGGGAGCTTTTCCTGATTTAAGAATTGGGCATATGTTTGCAGTTTTCCACTTTTTAGGGTAAATTCCACTTTTGATAATAAAGTTGATGATGGTAACCAGGTTGAAGATCATAAAAATACCCATGTTGGCAAGCATTTTATTGGAAATCTTATCCAGACTAGGACTTTTCTTGGTTTTCAGTTTGCATATATATTCAAGGACATCTGACGGCATAACTGGAGAGATGTTGTCAGTGTGTGGATTTGTCAGGAAATTTGTTAGCGTATGATTAACCAAGTGTTCTGTTGGTGGGTGAGAAATGTTGTTGGTGCGGAACTGAGAAGCGTAGTGATCAGCGAGGGACTCAGCTTTCTCAATTTCGGTGTAGGCAATATTTTGAGGGGCCATTAAGGGACGGAATATTTGTGTAGCATCTTTTAAATTTTGTAGTCGCTTTCTAGATAGAGTTATCCTCTGGATTGAGAGACTCTAGGTAATCAGCCCAGTTGCGTTGTGCTTGTTTACGTGTCAGAAGTCTGATCTCGTGATTGAGCCTGTTGAGAGCGGATTTATCCGCGGAATGCCGGTATTTTTGCCGCCATGTTTTGTGGTAGCATTTCTTTGTTTAATGAGTTGTCGTATCTTGGAGTTTTTAATTCTGTCCCTGTGTTCTACAGCTTTGCTGTTGACAATCAGGGCATTAAAAAGTTCATTGGAAAAGGAAGTAATAGCAGCGTCTAACTCATCCTCATTTTGTATCGTGTGTATTGAGTAGCGGGTGTTGTTTAGGGCTTTGGCATATCCTGCCCAATTAATAATGAAGGCCCTTTTGTGTAGTGAGTTATGGCGATAAACATCTAGCTCTAAAATGACGGGATTATGGTCTGACGATAGTTCGCACAGACTTTCCACATGCAGACTTTTTACACTTCTGAGAAGGTAGAAATCAATGGTAGAAACAGTATTATCGCCATAACGTGTTGGGGTTGTGGAGCTGCAATAGTAAACCTGCCGAGTCGGCAAAACGAAGGATTATATTTCTTAAGGTGTTGTTTGAGTTGCAGTTCCACTCGCGGTGGTGTGCACTTAGATCTCCACCTATAATGATTCTATTGTTAATTCTAGAGAGAACTTGCAGATCAGCTGCAACGTTCCCGTGTGCTTTCCAGTTGGATGGAAAGTGGAGATAAAAGTAATTGGTTGAGTACTGTGTGGAATGATATTAATGGCTGAGGTCTCGATATGTTATGTTATGTAGAAGTGAGGGGGCCACCTAATATTTACCCTAAGTAAGCAGGTATTAGCCCCACACACTAACTAGAAAACTAACAACATTCTGGCATCATTCCTCGAGTCGTGATGGAAATTGTGACTCCAGTGAGCACTACAAGTACTGCCACCGGTGGCGGCATCAACGGTACTCCTAACCTTTCAGCGTTAAATTAGCTCAAGTAAGGGATTAAATTACTTGATATACATTGCGATATACATAGTTGTGCAGGTGCATATTTCAAGGTGTTATCTATTGTAGTGAGTACAAGCAACATATTTCAGGACATTATATATTGCATTAGAAACAGGCATGTTGTTCCCACGTTACAAATCCTTTTTGTAAACATGATCTGTTTACTATCAGAATTAATTAAGAACTATAAAATTGTTTACAAAGCTTACATATAAGTACTGTTGTATAGTTGTGCTGAAACTTTAACAGCTCAATTTTGCCGATTCATTATTTGTTTTAACGTACGTTTTTATGTTAATTGATTTCAGAAATTATATTATTGTCTAGTAGTACATTGTTATGTAAAAATTTATCATGACATTATAAATTGTTGTGGCTAGAAACAACTTATTTCTAGTGTATAGATCATGCTTACAATCATGACTTGTTTACATAATTTTTTTTTACAAACAGCTGTCAAAATTTGAGAAGAATATAAAGTAATAAAAAAGAGATAAATATATCTGTAAACGAAAGAGAAAAAAAGAGGTTCATCTGCATACTTATGCGTACTACGTACTTTTAAATATATCTGCATATATATGCTGATACATTGTCAACTTATATTTGTCAGTTCGTTGTATGCAATTACGTGTGTTTTTACAATAATTAGTTTACATAATTTCATAATTCGAATATTAGTTTACATGAATTTTCAATTTACAATAATTAGTTTACATGAATACATTCATCATTTACAATAATTAGTTTACATGAATTTACTATGATACATTACATTGTTGTTTAGATGAATGGAATCTGTAAACGGACAAGAAAATAGATAATGTTCGGGGTGACCTTTTTCACCACATGCACAGGAGTCTGATGAAGAGAGATTTCTTGCATAGAGGTACGTGGGAAAGGGACCATGCCCCGTGATAAACCACGTGATGTGTCTGGAGAGATGGATTGGAGGAGAGTCAACTTTGGGGAAGAGGTTGTAAACTCCTCTGCCTGTATTTGCACCGTCCCACCATTGTTGCCATAAGTCCTTAGTTGTGATCTGAAGTTTTAGTTTGAGGTGAGAAGATGGACAGAGGATGCTTATTTTCTTGGCATTGATTCCTTGTGTTGCCTCCTTGGCTAATATGTCAGCCTCTTCTTTTCCATTATGACCAACATGGGCCTTGATCCAGATTATAAAGAAGTGTTGGCCTTGGGCATTGGAGGACTTTCTAAGAATTTTCTGAGCTAATGGTGATCTATTATTTGGGTTCGCGAGTGCATGCATTGCCGAGAGACAATCTGTATACATGTGAGTCCTTGGAAAATGATGATGTGTGCTTACGTTGATTGCCTGCAAAATCGCGAACATTTCCGACTGAAAAACGCTATTCTCTTTGTCAAGTTGGAACTTGAAGTCTTTTGTTTCATGGTCACTGAGATATATTTTTATAGCACATCCTTTTCCGTTGTTTGTGCCAGAACCATCAGTGTAGATCTTTGGATATAATGCTTGGTATCTATTCTGCCTTATGCATAGTGTCATTATTTCAGCTAGCTGGGTGTCTTTCATATGGATGAGTCGGTGAGGTGTAGGAGCTGGCAGCTACTATCTCATTTTTAATTTTGCAGTCTTTTCTTAGCTGAAGAACTGAAGCCTTTGCCTGTTCCTGCTCTGCAACTAAGAATAAGGGGATGCTGTTGGTGAGCTGAAACAGTGCAGCATTTGAGGTTGTTCTGTAAGCACGGGAATAATTTAAAAGAAAGGGCTTTTGGATGGATTGAAGTTGCTTTTGTTTTCTCACCGTCATTGGTGACGCCCATATCGCTGCACCATACAGTGCTATCTTTTCTATAACAGCCTTTGTATCTGGGGGTTTAAGCCCCATCCGACACCTTGCATTCTTTTCAGGTTGTTAGCTATACTGGAGGTTTTCTTCTTAATTTGCTGTAGGTGCTCAATTAAGTTAAGTTTATTATCTATTGTAATTCCAAGATATCTTAAGAATTTGACTATTTTGATTTTGTTGTTGTCAATGTGGAATTTTGGTAGTCTGGTTATTTTTTTAGAAGGCTTATGAAATAGCATGGCTTGAGATTTTTCCTGTGATATTGTTAGTTTTTGGTGCTTGCAAAGTTCGTTGAATGTTTCCAGAGTTGTATTAACATTGGCCTCTAGTACTTGTCTTGAACTTCCACTGATTACAAAGGCTGCATCATCAGCAAATGCAATGCACTTTGTGTGGTCTAGCCATTGATGTTGTACTATTTTGTTAATGCTAAATTCCAGAAATCAGCGCTAAGACAACAGTCTTGCGATGATTTCTGAAACTTGTGGACAGCCTCATTTTTGGTTTCTCTCGATGGTTCTGCTGTTGATTATTATTATGCTCTTTCTATTGGAAAAATAGTTCTGGAATACTTTAAATAGGTTCTTCGGGCATTTGATTTCTTTAAGCGTGCCTAATACCTCAGGCCACCAGAGTGAGTCGAAGGCCTTTCTGAGGTCTAGGCATAGTAGAGCAGAATGCATATTTTGGGCTTTGTTGTTAGAAATTTGGATTATTGCTTCGTTGATTGCATGTATTGTGCTTCTGTTGGGTGTAAATCCAAATTGCAAGTTACTGATGCTATTTGATTTTCTTAAATGGTGTCTGAGGCGACTCGCAAGGGCTCTTTCAAAAACTTTTCCCAGCGCTGGGAGAAGGCTTATTGGCCTATAGGAGCTCGGATTGGATGCATCTTGACCTTTCTTGTTGAACAGAATTATCTGTCCTATCTTGAAGCAGGAGGGGAAAATACCATATTGTAGGCATTTGTTCATTAGTACCGGGATAAGAGAAGGAAAGTGTTAGTTTATTACTTTTAAATTATTACGTTATCTATCCCGTCTGGACCTGGAGCTTTTTTTCTTTGGTAGATTTTTAATAATATTATTAATTTCGAATTCTGCGAAGGGAGCGTCATCTTGTGTGCAAGGATGTTGGGTATTTTCTCTTCTCGATCTTTGAGCTGCTGTATCACCTTCTGCAACGTCGTTTAGGAATACGGCTTCCATAATTTTTTCTATTGCAGTTGTAGTAGCATCCTCTGACTCATGACTGACTGAAAGGGAGGTATGTAAAACTGAATGGGGGATTATTATTTGTGAAGGTTTGAAAACTTTGCGCAGATTTTGTACATCGGACCATAGGGGTCTTTGCTGTTTGATATGTATTTTTTCCAGCAGTTTATTTTTACAGATCGAATTTATTTTTTTATAGAAAGCTCTCTGTTTGGCGAAAATTATGTACGCTGCAGTTCTATCTGCTTCTGTTTTTGCTTGTTTCATTCTTCTCTTTAAAGCTCTGGTTTTATTGCGTTCAGAGCGAAGTGAGGTTGTCCACCAGTTAACTTTCTTGATATCACTAGGATTTTTAATGTCAAAGGATTTTTCACAGTGGGCTTGAATTGATTTGGTCAGTTTCGTAGTTAAGTCATCTAACTGAACTTCATTAGTGAAATTTTTGAGTTCATTTATTATTAAAGGAACTTCTGTTGAGATTGAATTTACAAATCTTTTGATCCTGTTATTTGTGGTTTTGAAGCGCTTTGTTGTTATTGCTACAGTCTGTGCGACAAAGCCATATGATATTAATTTGTGGTCTGAAGTTACTTCGTCCTGTATGACCGTCCAGGTCATGATCCGGTGGGCCAGAGCGCCGGCCCGCCGGATTATTTGCAAGCGTTAAGTCGGGCCACCCTTTTCCAGAACTTGTTTCAAATGTCGTGGGGCAGAATCTTCATTTATTAATGCTAGATTGTAACTATTAATAAAATCTTCAACTTCTATTCCCCTTTGGTCAGTACGAGAGTAACCCCATATTTTTCTGTTTTTGATGTGCGATCGTCTGCAGTGGTGAATTAAATAGCCATATTTGGTTATGGGCATTAAAATCTCCTCCAATGATGTGGAGGGAACCGGGGAATCTATTGATGATGTTACCTAGTTGGTTGAGGTTTGCAGATAGTTCGTCTGCTGGAGAATTATAAAAGGAGGTGATGAGCAGTTCTTCCTTTGAAGTGTTTAAGGTTATTGTAACTAAATCTTTAGAGGTAAATGTGATATCTGGCGACTGTTTGGCGATCAACAGAGCATGCTTGGCGCAGGTAGCTCTTCTTCGAGAAGGGTTAATGTATTTATTAGGAGTTGCATGTTAGCCTCGGAAGAGGAAGGTAGTAGATTGTACTATGCGGTAGGAGCGACGTACTGCTCTGAGTAACTATTATATTATGCTTTGAATTATATATTTAATAAATGTTTGTTTCGTCTTGCTAAATGGTGCCTTATTAAACCACGAAGTCATCACAACACGCTCTCTTACGAGAAAACCAGAGAGGTTAGAAGCTTAGAGCGTTGAAAACGGAAGAGGCGTAAAGTTAAGCCTAACTAACGAAAGAAGTGTTCATTTGCAAAAGAGAGTAAAAACGTGAGAGTAAAAACGTGAGAATTATTTAATCGAGAGTTTGAAAGGCTTGATTCTAAAGGAAAATAGAAGAAAATGTTCAAAAACGCAAAGAAAGAGGATTTAGTAATAGTTCTATTGGAAATTGGCGAAGAAGCATCCCCAGATTTGAAGCTGGTAGAACTGAACACAAACTCCAGAATAGCAAGGAATACATCGAAGATGCTGATTTCGTGAAAGAAATTCTGATTACTACAGTGGAGAATAGAAAAAGAAAAGAAGAAATGGAAAGAATGCAAATGGAAGAAGAAAGAATAAGAACAGAAAGAGAACACGAAATAGAACTAGCGAAGATTCGAGCAACTCAAAATGAAGGAAGTAGAAGTCCAACACCTTTAATCCAAAACACAGAACGAGAAACCGAAATTTCACTGGACAAGCTGATCAAAGGAGTAGAAACACTGACTATACCAGTACCGAAGAGAGCAGAAGAATGGAATATATTTTTCGATTCTATCGAAAGAGCATTTAAGCACAAGAAGGTTCCTGAAGAATACAAATCAGAAATATTATTGAAATTAATTGGAGAAAAAGCTTCAAATGTTCTTGTTTATATAAAGGAGGAAGATCTGCAAAATTACGAAAAAGTGAAAACTCTTGTTCTGAAGGAATATCAACCTACTCCTCAAACCTGTTTAGAAAACTTCAGAAAAACTAAACGTTATCCGGGCGAAACGCATATCCAGTTCGCTTCAAGACTAACAGCTACATGGGACTATTACTGCAAGTCAAGAGAAGTAAAGGATTTCGAAACACTCAAGGAGTTAATTATTTCCGATAAATTATTCCAAGCATTAGATGAGATGAAGAAACAGCTGCACACGTCGCAATACGCCAAGGAAATAAATGGCTGAAGCCTCAAGAATTAGCTACAGAATGTGATATTTATTTCACGGCCAAAGGAAATCTTTCGACGAAGTTCGAAATGGAATTAAGCGATCACCGAGATTCCTGGATACAACATGTGCACACGACAAATATATTCCACCACCCATGAGAAAAGAATATCCAAAACACGAAAGATTTCACGCGAGAAGAAAAGAATGTTATATTTGTGGAAATTATCAACACATCGCGAGAGATTGTCCAAGACAAAAGAAGAAAGAACGAAACTGCAGTAAATAAGAAGGGAAAGGATGATTCCAAAACTCAAAAAAATTCAAACAGAACATCAAAAGAAGAAGCCATCGTAGCTAAAGTAGACTCATCCCATCTACGATCTGAATTCGCAGAACGCATCGTTCAACCACTGCAAAAAGTAGATATTTTTATTAACTCTGAGAAAATCGAAGCTATCGTAGACTCTGGAACGCAGATAACGATCGTACATTCATTCTGATGCATCCCAAATCGGAATAGGTGCATGTTTGTCACAGCAAAGGGGAGAGAAGCAATTTCCCATCTGCTACGCGAGCAAGAAATTATCGAAACCTCAACAGAGCTGGCCGACTATAGAGCGTGAAGCTTATGCTATAGTATGGGCATTGAAGAAGTTTGAACCTTGGATATTCGGTTCATCGGTGAAAATTGTGACTGATCATAATCCTCTAGCCTTTATAGTGAGAAATGCTCCGCAATCGTCCAAATTACAACGATGGACCATAGCTTTGCAGAAATATAATCTCGAAATAGAACATTGCCCTGGAAAAAAACTGTCAAACGCGGATGCATTATCCAGACTTCCCACTTGTGAACTTTGAACATTAATTTACTGTTCATCTTCACGAACATTTTGTATAGTTAATAATTAGATAGTTTCTTTGCTTTTCATAATCATTTTACAATTTTGTGCAAATAAGATGTTTATGTAATTTGAAATAGATAGAGAAATTATTGGATAACAAATATTCGAGGTAAGTTGTAAATTTAGATATTTGTCTCCCAAGGATTTAAATCATGCTGCAGCATCATTAATTAAAAAGAATGTTAAGAATATAATTTTATATATATATAAGAAACTTAATAATTTTACTGTCATCATTGGAATAATACTAAGGTATATTTTAACATGTTTATAAAAGAAAATATCAACTTGGTTTCTTTGAATTAAGAATTGATAAATTGTTACAATAATAATAAGGTTCGGAACAAGTGAAGTTAAAAATGATTTATCTATGTTTATATATAAAAATGTGTTATCTATGTTTATGTTAAATTAGTAAATTGAGGTATTATGTGCAAATATCTATAGTAATTAAGATTTGATATTAGGATAGAATGTATAAAAGTATATGTAGTTTTTTTTTTCTTTTTCACGTTGATCGCAAACAGTTGCTTGATTTTAGTTTCCAGATTGCTGATTGATTTGTAAATAATATCAACAACAATCTTACGACGGGGGTGTGATATCTGGCGACTGTTTGGCGATCAACAGAGCATGCTTGGCGCAGGTAGCTCTTCTTCGAGAAGGGTTAATGTATTTATTAGGAGTTGCATGTTAGCCTCGGAAGAGGAAGGTAGTAGATTGTACTATGCGGTAGGAGCGACGTACTGCTCTGAGTAACTATTATATTATGCTTTGAATTATATATTTAATAAATGTTTGTTTCGTCTTGCTAAATGGTGCCTTATTAAACCACGAAGTCATCACAGTAAATATTGTTGATGGGGACTAATTCTTGTTGTAGCATATGATCGCTGCTCTTATTTGATTTTCTTTTTCGTCTTGGTGTTGGATTAAATTCCAGGTTGACGGAATAGCTCCAACTTTACCTCTTACGCAACAAAGCTTTTGAACGAGCACTATACATAATGGTGTTCTGCCAAGAAAAGTTCGAGTTTTGCGGATGATGCTTAAGCTCTTTGCAAATTTATTTGGAGAATCGTGATTTTAGGTGCATTGTTTCTCTTTATTAGTGTGGTTGAAGGGAGAGGAGTCATTGTTTTGCTGTTTCGCTACTTTTTGCTTCCTAAGTTTGATGTACCGTAGTCCGTTCTTTCCTTGATCTTTTGTATTTCACGAAGGTACGTTGGGCAGGTCGACGCGAATGCAGCATGATTTATATTGAAATCGCTGTCATTCACATTATTGAAAAGTTTGCAGTAAATGCAAGTTGGTATCTCTACTCTGCAATTCTTAATATCATGCTGTCTCCCACAGACGGCACAGTACTGACTGTGTGGGCAGTCTCGTGCAGAGTGGTTGAAGTCGTGACATATAAAGCACCTTCTAATGCCAAAAAATTCAGTGATTCGCTGCTCTCTCCAACCACTGAAGATTTGTTTCTTTCCATCATTAACTTGAATGTTAATGGGGAGCATTCAATGATCCATTTTATCGTATTGTTCCGTTTATCGTTTAATTTGAATATTACTTTAAAGTCATTGTTTGTTATGGAAAAGTTTGCTGTTAAAATATTATGCATTTCCTCTGCGGTTGTCCCGTGAGGGATGTTACTAAATGCGCACTTTGGGGTCCTTCTCTGGGGAATTTTCGTATTAAATTTCTCGTGGATGTTTTGAATTTTGTCTAGAGACTCATGAAGTTTCTTTACTTCTTCCTCGTTTTCGCAGGAAACTGCTATGCCTCCCCGTTGAATTTTAGTGATTGCTTTAATCTTAATACCAAATTGGAGATATCTTCTCACACTCTTCTTGAATGTTTACATTGGAGCTGTTGTTTTTTGGTTAATTAGAAGTGCTGGTCCTCTATGACGTTTGTAGCCAATGTTCCTCGTGGCAATTTGGGCATACGTAGGCGATTGCTCTATATGGGCAACGTTGGCGTGCATTTCTTTCTGAGAATCAGTGTGGTTGCAGCCAGCCTCTTTTGTCTTATATGGGTTACAATGTCCGCAACAGTGAAATTTCTAATAATCGTCTTTTTGGGAATTATTGGGCCTTGGCTGGTAGTTCGTCGGAACTCCTATGGCCAAATTCTTCATTACTACTATCTGCACATAAATTTCCTCAAAAAGATCTTTTGGAAAAAGAGGTTTGTTTTTCTTCTTTGTGTTTAGGAGACCTACGCACTTTTCAAATATGAAATTGACAAACCCTTCTTTGCCTTCTTTTGAGGAGCAGTCAACGTTGCTATCAGTGTAATGGCTTGGAAGGGCGAAGTGCAAACTATTTGTCGATGTTGATTCAGCTTTACTGTTAGGTACATCTTCTGGGGATGTTTCAAGGACGTCAACTGAGTATACAGATTTTCCTCTGGTACAACTCATATTTGGTA